CGCTTGAGTCTTTTGTGTGTGTGTGTGTGTGTGTGTGTGTGTGCTGTTAATGTCCCACAATGCACAAAGTAAAAGGACACATTGTGGATGGTGGTCAAATGGCTGCAGGACAAACATTTTGCTTTCAGTTTGTTAAGTTTACTGAGCAGGGTCACTCCAAAGTCTCAGTTTGATTGACGTCTGTTAACACACGTGTTGGATAGTTTCCAGGTACTACTCCTAAATGGAAAAGTAGATTTATTTCTTGTATATTGCACAAATGGTATAAAGTAGTACATTCTGTATGCAATTACTATGTAGTGTGGACTTTTTTGCTGCCTGTTACTAATCCGGCTGCCTTTAGGCAAGAAGGAAACTTTCACAAGGCTAGCTAACTTGGTGAACTGTAATAGACTCACATCACCTGGTTGTTTGTTTGTTTGGTCATTGTATCTGTTATAATGTTGATACCCGAAAAAGCTCAAAAGACAACTTGAGCTAGCACCAGACTAGCATGGGGAGAAAAAAATGACCCTAACCCTTTTTTTTAATAAAGATAAGAACAATACAAACGATAACATCAATGACAACACTATTTTTAGGTTGTCTTATGTAGTGCAAAAAAAACAAAACAGTAACCTTAGTGTAAGGCGTATATATATGACATGCAAATGTCAGCTACAGCCCTGTTTATTGTCTGTGCTTCTGGTGCCTTGGCACCATATTTTCGTTGCTGTTTCTGTCTAGTTGCTGGTCGACTTTTTTCAGCTTCAATCTGGGACTTTAAGAGAAATATAACACTTTTCAGACACAAATAATTGTGTTATCCTGTTAAATTAACACTGTCTATTAACGTTACAGACGGGCAGGACTGATGACGTTTGCTGCCTAGCACCCACATTAATGTTAGTCGTTTTATTATTAGCCATAGCCGGGCATTTGCCACAAAACTGTGTCACACCCACTTTTCTCTGGTCTTATCATCTCTGTAAAAGGACAGTGAGTGAACATGTGGACAGTGAAACAGGAGACAGACATGGCCGCTGCTTTTACACTGTTGTACCTCCAGGAGAGCCAAGACGGAGAAAAAGAGCATCCTCGTTCTCTCTACCTCTTATCCTCCCTATTAGGCAATATTTCCCTTGGTGGTTTTTCTATTCATTTTGTTCTTTATTGACATATTTTTCACTCCCTGATCACTTCTCTTCTCTTTGGTCTCTTGAAGTCTTCCCCATGTGTCCTGATCTCCCCTGCTCTGCCATGGCTTAGCGATTAACCCTTTAAGAGCGCGTGTGAGCATGTGTTTGAGTTGAGGGTGTGCACGTCCAGATCCCATGTGTGAATGGTGTTGCCCTGCGTAATGCTTCTGAAGTACAGGCCTCCCGCTTTCCTCCCACTGCTGTAGCCTGGGGACATCCAGGCTCCTGCACTCTCACACACGTGCACACACACACACACACACACACACACACACACACACACACACACACACACACACACACAGGTGGAGGCAAATAGGAGGAGGATACAGGAGTCAATACGGGCATAGGCACCAGAAAACAGATTTTAAATTGACAAATTATCACAATTGTCTGTATGAGATGGTTACATCTCAGGCAGGTAGGGTCGGTCCTCAAAATATAATTTCTCTTAGTTGTTTTTAATTGTCTTTGTTTGAGTTTTAAAATTATTTTGTTATTTTATATAATTTTATGGCGAGATACTATGTACTATTGTTTTTGAAAAGTTGATAATGATTATGATCAGCCTGATGGCGCAATAATGTTAAAGTTTATTTTTGACCTTGGAAGCAGTAGAATAACAAATACAAAAACTATTAACTCAAGGTCCACTTACTGGCTTATTTGCAGAGCTTTCACTCACTTCTTATCATTATCAATTAGCACAGACAAATAGAAGCTGACACAGATGTGGAAAAATCAACAAAGACAAAAAAGTGCCCCCCAGAAGCAAAATAAGGAACACTGACAGACAGTGCAGTTACAAGGGCAATCTTTGGCTACATGTGATATCAGGAATATCAGATATGAAAATCAGAGGCACTGGCCTGAACCAAAATTGCATTCTGAAGATGTGAGCGACATAATATGAGGTATGGCAGCGTGATATACTGGTGATCTCAACCAGTCTCAGCTCTGTCTGTCTGTCTCCCAGTGATTGTCCAGCCAAGTAGACGCATTGACCTTTAGCTTGCTGGGTACAGTGGGGAACAGCGCCCTCTGGGGGCGGCACAGGGGTCACTGCATTGCGTCTTCACTTCCCGTGGCGAGCTGGGAACGGCGCACAGCACTCGCTTGCTGCTTTGCTTTGATTCTAATCCACTCGAAGGGTAAGGAGGCAAAACCAAGTCGAACTCCGTACTGATGAGAAAATCCCAGGTTGCTCCTACATTGCGGCTTTTAGGGACACCGGAGATGGTGCAGTGCACAGCGGCATTCTGGGGGGTGGGGGGGCGGGATGTTGGGGATGAAAGCTAAGCTGCTGATTTACCTGGAGAAAGGTGCATGGGCGGAGCTTTGGAGAAGGGAGGAGAGTAGCGTCACAAATTCTTGCGCACCTTTTCCCCCTCCCCTCTCACTCTTCCTCCTCCATCCTCCATCCTCCCTCCCTCTTCCCCCTTCTCCTCCCCTGTCTTCAGCTCTTGCACAGGATCACATTAATATTCCTTTGAAGCCTGTTTCAACTGCAGCCAGATCTCCCTCTCCCTCTCTCCTCCACTCTCACTCCTTCTCTCCCTCTTTTTGCCCCCCCCCCCAATTTTTTCTTTTCTCTCCCTCTTGCTTTCTCTTCCGAGCTATTGTTTTCTAGAAGGGATCACTTTCCCACCATTTCTACCAACCAGTGCAGCAGGGAGGGGCATTTTATATACCTTCAGTCAGGAGTTCCCCTTGTTGCACACATGCACGCACACACACACACACATATGCAGGCACACACACACACACACACATAGAGGGGTGGTGGTTACCGATGCCTTTGACAGAGCGTGTTGATTGGTTCAGAATGGTTGCTGCCTCTTGTAGGAGAGTGGAACGGCTATTTTTAGATCAAGGGGTAGCTGGGAGAGAAAGACTGAGGAGGGCTCTGTGTGTGTGTGTGTGTGTGTGTGTGTGTGTGTGTGTGTGTGTGTGTGTGTTAGTGTGAGTGTGTGTTAGTAAGGAATACTGCAGTCTTGAAGGAAGTTCCCTCTTCACACACACATACACACACACACAAACACACACACGTACACACACACATGCACTTTTGCAGCAGTGCCCCTCTAAAGCCACGGTGGTGTGTATTCCATGTGCTTGCTCCCCTTTTCCTCTCCTCCCTCAACCTTTTTTCTCTTGCTGTATCTCGCCCCCCCCCCTCCCTCCCTCCCCTCCCGCAGTCTTTCTGTCTCTCTCTTGTTTCTCCCTCTCTTTCTCTCTTTCTGAGCTGGCTCGGTGTGCAAATGTCAGCACTCTCCCATTTATTTGCCAGAGCCCAGAGCAACGTCCTGCACCCTCTGTTTACCTCTGTCTCCACAGCGCTGCCCCGTCGCCGCTGCCTCTCTCTCTCTCATCACCCTTCCTTTCTCCTTCTCTCCATCCTACATCCTTCCTCATCCCCTCTTCTCCACCCCAATCCCCCATTCTCCTCACTCTCATCCCGCATCCTTCCCCATCCCTTTCTTCAGCTCTGTTGCATCCCTTTCCTCCACCTCCAACCCCCCCCCCCCCACCTTTGCTTCCCCGCTTCCATTTTTTACACCATTCTTGCTTCACCCATCTACTCACCCTATCCCTCCGCCCCTCCTCCCGTTCATGGATCATGGCACTTCATCATGACATTTCCAGTCTTGTCTACAACTAGAGCATCAAGTTTTTTGGATTAAATCCACTGCACCACAACCACCATCGCCATCACCCCCCCACCCCCACCCCCTACTTGCTTCATTTTGAATCTATTTTAAGACACAAGCGTGTCCATTCACGTTTGGCCCCGTCACATCACAAAACACCTTGTCCCTCTCTTCGTCCTCGTCGTCTGTCTCTTTCTGTCTCCTCTCACTTTGTTTTTTGTTTTTGTTTTTTTTTTTCTTTTTTTCTTTTTCCATTTTCCTCGCCCCATGTCTTCGTCTTCCTCCCTGTCTCACTCTATCCGTCACTCTATCTGTCTGTGATCACCACGATGACTCATGTGGCTCGCACCTGCTCTGCAGTTGAGGGGCCGCCGTGGTTTTTTTTTCTTTTTTTTGTAAGGAGAGGTTGGAGATGATGAAGGTGTGGCTTCACGTAGGCTCAGTGTGATGGCAGAAAGTGTGGTGGGGCGAGGGTGAGGATATCAGTTTATTCACATAGTCGCTACATTTCATTTGCAACATACCCGGTGTTGAAAACACGATGCAGAAGACGCTGTAGCAGTTACACCAGGCGTCGTTTCTATATTCGGGCACACCTGCCTTATAATCGATCTTATAATCGAAACTGACAAGTGGAGCTGCAACAAATGAGAGCATTCTGTTCTCCCTAATTTAGACACAATGGACGAACCCTGTACGCCCAAGATACTTTTTGTTTTCGTCAAGTCACAGGTGTGAAATATGAGACCAAAATATAAGAATGAATTCCCGAAATGTTCCCAAAGCAGCACAGATCCATTCAGGGACGTGCTTGGAGTGGAGCCTCTTGGATGTTGTTCCTGTAGTTTTCATCATCACTTCAAACAAGGATCATTTTGGTGTATTTCGTCATCTTCTTCATTTGAGGATCAGATCATGTGGTTAACCTTGACACAGTTTTGAAAATTAGGAAATAGGGATATTTCAGTGAAGCTAAAGGATTTCAGTTTTTCAATAGCATGATACCTTTTCTCTTGTTGTTGATTGCATTCATGAGAAAGAATGATTTACCTTTTGGAAAATGCCTGTGATGTAACAATAGCAATTTGTGTTGAAACCCCTCATGTGCTTATGAATTTGTGCGCTAACTTAATTTTTTTTTTTGTGCCTCTCTCTGTCTCTGTCTATCCAGTGAGTGACAGCTGTTTTCGAAACCTTGCAGAGGACCGCAGTGGCGTCAACCTCAAAGATCTTGTACACGATCCCTCCCTGTGAGTACTAGCTGCTACTTTTTTTTTTTTTTACAAGATAGTTCAACCTATAGACACAAATGAAAACGTTCGGCATCACTGTACCTTCATGCTCGCAAGTGTTTAATCCAGAGCAACGTCCTTTGACTTACCTTCAACCTGCCGCACGGAAAAGATGCACAGGCTCTCTGCATGCGTGCGTCTCTGTGTGTGCTTCTGTGTGGAAGCCGTCTTCTTTTTGTGCTAGAGCGTAACTAAGAAACTAAAAATATCTCTTCAACACAACATGTCGGGGCTCGGTGTCGCCCTATGGAGAGAAATTCCCAGCATGCATGGCAACAACAAAAGAGCTGCAGCACTCTTCTGTTTAAGGATGACTCTTGGTAGCTGCAAGAAGTCATTATTTGCTCAAAGAACCTAAAGGAGGTGAAATCAACCATTGTTTTTTTTTATTAACGGGGATGCGATCAGGGGAAAAAAGTGCATGAAAAACACACAGGAAAAACAATAATCTCCATCACAAGTGAATGTTAAGAATGTGTCCAAGCAGGCAGGTTAAAACTGTTGTTTATGCACCTTTTCGGGGGCTTTAAAATGAGGATGTTTCAGGATGTTTTCTGTCAGCTTTGGTCATAAAAACACAGAAGTGAAATATCAAAATGTCATGAGGACTGTGAAGGTCATGAAAACGAGCAAGCTGTTCACTAGAAATCACTGATTCATTCATAATATAAAAAGATTCTGTGTTCAAAGAGACTATAAATGGTCAAAATAATGTGGACACCCGCCTTTGTGTGACTGTTTAACATCTCATTCCAAAGCCATGGTTATTAATATGCTTCTATAATAGCCTCCAATTTTCTGGGAAGGTTTTTCTATCAAATTTTGGAACATGGCTGCAAAGATTTGCTCAATTCAGATTTCCCTTAATTGGCACTAAGGGGCCAAAACAGCCACAGACCAAAAATACACATGTCCACATACTTTTGGCCACCGACTACATATATTTCAACAATAGCCGACAGCAGCTTTTGTGTCAAATTTGATGCCACTGAGATTTCTAAGTTGCGTTCAAGTGATGTTAGCGCTGATCAGTTACAATCTTTTTACATCACACGTCGTTCAAGAAGCCTCCTCAGCCTGTGACTCAGAACACTGCGAACCGTGACCCCGAACATGCAACTCCAGACACGCTTCTCTAGGCATACGAGCCATTCTCCATACAGCCATTGATTTGCTGGAGCTCCCCTGCTCCCCAGTCACAGTATTACACCAGTCAATATCACTGGAGTGTCACCAGTCACCAGAGAACGAGTGTGTGTGTGTGGGGTGGGGTGGGCGTCGCGCTAGGTGGTGATCAGGGATCATTGCATGTTTATTTGTACAGTGGGGTACACTGGAGAAAATGAATAGGGAGTTGAATTTTGCTGTCGTGCTTGTGTGTCTGTTTCATGCACACATGAATCCATGTCAGTGTGTGTTTTTTGAACGCATTAATAGTAGAAACAGTTTGCAAAAGAAGGATGTTCAGCGAAAAACCTGCGGACATCTTGTTTATTTTGTGCATTTTCGTGTTGTTCCTCAGATGAAAAGGAAAGATGTGCATGTAAACGTTTGTCAGTAAATTGTCATGGCGTATCTTGATCTCCATCCTCATTTTAGACATGTGGGTTACAAACTGATGAACTGAAGTGGATTTATATGATTGAACATTTGGATGCAATTCAAGCAAAACCTGAGAAGGTTTGAATTCCACTTTAATGTCACAACTATAACAGAAATCCTAACGTTTCCAATGTGATCTTCAATTTTGCCCTTTTTTTGAGATGGAGCTAAAGTTCATGGAATAAATCACAATAAGGAAAGGAGATGTGATCGGCGGTTGACAGCTGATAAAAGGTTCAGTTGTCACCGACTTATTTTTGTCGGCAGGTTTGCTGATGGAAGGTTTGTTGGCTTGGTTTCATTGTTGTTGAGCTCAGAAGGAAATGAATGGACTTCCAGTGATTGCTGATGGTGACGCTCAGTGTGAAAGCAGAGTTAGGGGCTCTGTGGTCCACTCGTTCCACTAAAAAGGCACTTTGGATGAATGTGCTGTGTTGCAGTGAACTGGTAGGGTTAAGCTTGGATTAAACACGGTGCTGTTAAACATTAAAACTGGACACTAGGACAGGCTGTCAGTGCTGGCGTCCCTGTCTGCTCTGCTGTGCTGCTGTGATGGTAGCTGATGCAGACGGGCTCTGGCTGACCTCCTCTGGCCTAGAGATCCTCCGTGCCATGTTAATCCACGCCACGCCACGAGTCAGCGGCTCCATCAGGTTGACCAGCTGGAACGCTGTGCCCTCAATGTGCCACTGCTGCTGTGACAGAGACACATAGACGGAGACAGAGAGAGAGAGAGAGAGAGAGAGCGGGGGAGGGAAGGAGGGAGGGACTATGGGGCCACAGCAGGACATGTAACATAAACTATAATCATAGCATCTCCCAGGCACACAAACACGTATACACACACTGGCACATGCAATCAATCAGCTTGCCCAGTCTGGCATTCAGGAGCATCCAGAGGTGTGTCAGGTGGAGAGAAAAATGATATGTGGCAAAAAACGAGAGAGTAACGGGGGGGGGGTCAAACGAATGATACCCAGACTCAAGGACACACAGATGAGGCAGAGGTGTGTGTACAAGTGAGTGTTCCTGTTTGTGTGTGTGTGTGTGTATGCGTGTGTATTCGCTTTTTGTTTGCATCTTTACCTTTCCAGTGTGAGCAAGTACTTTTGCTTAGATTCATATATTTTTGTATGTCGTGGGTGGGTGGGTGGGTGGGTGGGTGGTGTGTGTGTGTGTGTGTGTGTGTGTGTGTGTGTACGTTGAAGGTTGAGCGAGCCTCTCTCCTGGGCTGTGGAGCCAGTTCTCTGTCTCTGCCCTCCAGCTACTTGTGCTGCAACAACCTTTGTCAATTTTACAAATTGTCATAGCTAACAATAGTTAGAAGTCAATCAGATGGGTGACAGTCGGCCCAATTTCACAGTGAGGAGACACGTCAGGGGACAGAGATACACACACACACACACACACACACACACACACACACACAACCCTGTATTGTTAGAGATTGGATTGATAAGCACTATAATAACCGTAAATCTAGCTTGTATCAGCCTTCTTGAAAATATTCATATGGTGTTAAATGCTAAGTTAAGCAATCACATCAGCATCAAAACGCACACCAGTAAGTGCTTACAGTTGCATCCCTAAAGCTGCTGTGATCAATATTTGTAGATTAATAATGACTATGAGTAATGTGAAAGATCCAAATCCATAGAGAATCTTCCCTCGACTCTGCACTTCCCCTCAGCTCTACTGAGCTTTTTGTCATTTTTCAGCTCGTTGTTTTGGTTTTACTGTCCTGCTTCACGTTCACCACATTTCCAGCTGCAGCAGGAAGCCGTTACCTGTCCAGCACCAAGCTGCACACAGACAAAGTTAGCAAGTAGCAGGTGAACATAGCGGAGCAGTTAACAGCTAAAGAGCCAGGAGCTGGTGAAGACCAAAAACAGAGCTAAAAGGAGAGTGAATGATGGACTTACAGTCATCAGGTGGACGGCGCACTTTTTATAATGTGAGTAGTTCAGCAACCGCCTATCTACTACAAGAGTTATTCCTGTATGATTATAATTACGTTTAATTAGGGTAACCAGTCTGCAGGTAGGTTTGGAGAACAGAAGCACTTAAGTTAAAGTTAAATTTCAATAAACATGTTGCGTCTGGAGTCAACATGAACTTTTACTGTATTAAACCAGACCACAATCTTCTCCTAACCTTAACCATGTGCTGTGGGAGCCTAAACACAATGATAAACAGTTTAATAAAGCTGTAGTCACTGTGAGTGGATATTGAATTGCAAGATAGGATATTTTGGCCAAATATGCAACATATAGCTCTGCTAAGGTGCCGGTGCTCCCGGCCGTCTCTCCTAACTGGGAGCTGGAGATCTGTATCTACTGCAGGTAACGCACCGACTATACACGACTGCGCCACGTCAAATAACCCGAACTATCCCTTTAATTAACAACATTTCCACTTTATATTTACAGAAATCCGGTTGCAGTTACGTTACGTTACCCAACAAGCACTCACTTCAGCTTGGATTGCTTTGGTTTAAGATTCATTATACATACATATAAGAATGTGTCAAAGAAAAATACAGAAGCAACTTCCATCTTTGTTTTCTCTTACTCCCTGCAAATGAAAACAAATGTATGTGGTGACAATAAAGTCTCAGTGACTCTGAGGCTCTACCTGCAGACCTGAGCAGAGGTGTAGTTTACATTGCCAGAAACTGAAACATACACATGAGTTTGAGCAGCGCTTGTTTTGCCACAGATGTTAAGTGTAAATATATGAAGTTTGTTTGATGTGTGGTGTAGCCGGGATGGTTTAGAAAATGAAATGAGAGAGGCGATGGCGGATCTGAACCAGGATGACATTTATTCTGTAAATAAATAGAATGCTTGTGGGGTGGAGTGGTCTGCAGAATATTTTATAGTGTGTGTGTGTGTGTGTGTGTGTGTGTGTGTGTGTGTGTGTGTGTGCGTGTGTGTGTGTGTGTGTGTCAGAGGCTTTGTGCGTGGTGTTTAGTGGCTGTGAGTGGAATCATGGGAGTGGAACCCCTCGCTGAGCACTCGGAGCTCTCATCACGGTAGGGGTTTTGAAGAGGTGGGCTAGTCCACTCCTCCTCCACCTCCTCCTCCGTCCGTCCTTCCACCAGCTAACATGTTGAGAGGTGACCCCTTGAGAGCTTTCCTACATATGGACGAACCAACAACTCCGCTGTAATGGGCTCGACTCCACGCTACTACTGGGAGTGTGAAGATGGCCAAGGCTCTCGTCTCCTCCTGGATGGAGTGTGTGTGTGTGTGTGTGTGTGTGTGTGTGTGTGTGTGTGTGTGTAAGACAGCAAGAGAAAGAGAGAGAGAGTGAGATTGAGTGCCCTGTACAAAGAGCTTGTATTATTAATGAAATCACCCTGGCAGATGGGTCTCATCTTGGAAGTGTCCCACAACCACTGAGATTTGCAGCTGGCTCACATGCGCACACATACACACTCACACTTTTCCCCTCTCTTGTTAAGTGTGCCTCTGACAGTTCATCCCTCCTTTTCCTCGCTCCTTTCACTCTCTCCCTCTCCCTCTCATTCTGTCGTTCTCTCTTTATCCGCTTCTCCGTGCTCGTCTTTTATTCATAGAAAGATTTGGCCGTGGCGTCCGGGCTTTCAGGCTTAAACTACTGTCACCCCAGCACCACCACCAACACACACACACACACATACACACACACACCCTACACCACCTTCACCTCCCTCTTTCCCCCCTGCTCCACTCTTTTCCCTTCCATTCCTTCCTCCACCCGCATCAGGATTTGCCCACACCTCGAGCAAAAAGCCTTTATTCCAGGCTGACTACCTTCGGCCTGCAGTTTGAAGAAGAGCTTTATATGTCATAACCCCACCACCCCCAACCCCCCTCACCCCCCCACCCCCCGCAGTGGAAAGAGACATAGATGGGTGTTTGAGATTAAAATGTTGCAGTCTCTTTCCTCTCTAATAGGCTTCCCTCAATTCAGATCACACCCACCCAAAATACAGCCAAGCACTCTATCTGCAAAGAAGCCAGTCATGCTGAAACACACATTTGTGCACACATACAGTATGTATATATACACATTCACATCTATACATACACACACACACACACACACACACACACACACACACACACTGTATATGTCCTTTGTGCTTGTATATGCATCTACACACACATATATGCAGATGCACATACTGTATATGTACAAATTCTGTGTGCGTGCTCACAGTCACATGGTGAGAACCGGCCCCATGATAATCACACCGATCCGCCATTTCATTTCAGGATGACATGGTGTCCATGTTAGCACATTAGTGTTTAGGAAGTTCGGTTACTATGTTATGTTTTGTCCTAACCAATCAAGTAAAGAGTGACACAATACGACTACCGCCGTAGTGACGCCATTTTCCAACAGTCGTGGAAAGAGATAGAGGGGTGTGAGTTATTTCTCTTGATGTACCACAACAACCTGTGCTGATGTCGTCCACGGTTGTCATTTTTCTGTATACACTGATAAACAGAATATTCACGCTCACAGACATACATTCACACTAAACATCCACGTATATACACACACACACACACACACACACAGTATATACACACATTTACACACACAACAGTCCTGCGGTGAATCCTCCTTCGCGAGGGTGATGATGTTCAGGTTTGTGTTGAAACGGTTGGAGAGAGGTGTTGAATCAGTTGTGAGCTCATTTTGGAGACTGCAGTTTGCGTTGCGCTGACAAGTGTTTCTATGGTGCTGTCCACCCGGCAATGAGAGTCGGCTACATAACAGACGCAGAACAGAAACACCTCTCTGTTCTGTATATGCACATAACTGCACGTGTGTGAACACATACTCTATGTGTACACAAGAAAACACACACACACACAGCACGTACAGTATATCTACAGTCATACAGGCTACTCTATATATACATGCACACATATATAAAGATATACATGCATATAGAAATGCCTACACAGCCCACATGTAGTTTGTCATTCTTCACCTGTTCAGAGCCTCATATGTAAAACTATCTGTGGTTATAGACAATACATGAGAGCTACGTATCCAGATGTGCGCACTCTACATGTGTTGTACACAAACACATATACTATACATACATATATTTCAGGAATATACTACTAAACTTACCTACACACACTCAAAAATGTCCAGTCAACAACATATTGCTGCTTTCACACAGAAATGGCATCCCCCGAAAAAAAAAAAAAGAAAAGAGAAAAACACAAACACAAACATTCGCTGGCACACACAAACTCTCACACACTCTTTCACGATGAACAACACAGCAACTAGAGGCTTCAGACAGGAGGGGTTGCCTAGGAAACGGTGGGAAGAAACCCTAGTTATTTGTGTTGAGCATATTTTCATTTGGGCTGAAACAGAGAGGCATAAAAACCCCAGGAGAGGGAGAGAGGTGATTTGTCCTGACAGCTCCTTTACTCTCCCGAGGTGTAACACAGACACACACACACACACACACACACACACAAATACACACACATAAACAGACGAATGCACATGCATGAACACACACTCACATACACACAGACACATACAGAGATGCCAAAACCCTCCCTCCCTCCCGAGCACATCAAGAGAAGTAAATCACTCGTGCCATCACAAGAATGTCAGCAGGGGAGTGTCCGTGTGTGTGTGTGTGCGTGTGTGTGTTGTGTTTACGGATGCACAAGTTAGTGGATGCTCCAAGTAGCCCTGCATGTGCAGTGTTTCATGAAAAAGTACTTCTTAAATGATTCTTTCTGACTTCCCTGCCTCTTTTGTCAGATGCAGACAGCTTCTCTCTGAGTCCCAGGCTTCGTCTCTGTGCATGCTTGCTGCAGTATTTTGGTGTTGTCTTGCTTAGCGCGTCTCTCTGCTGCTCCCTCACTCGGTTTGAAAACTGAGCGGAGCCGATGGATTCTTTTTTTTTTTTTTTTGTCTTTTTTAAAAAAAAATGATTGAATGATATTTCCAGGGTGCAGAATTTACTCTTTGCAACTCAGTGTGTGAAGAGTTATCGTCTCCGTGTGCGTAAAAAAAAAAAAAAAGCATCTGAAAGGCAGAGAAATAGCGGATGCTTTAATGTTCATGGAGTTCATGGGTATTTGTCTGAGGGAGGGTGTTTAAGTGGCTGACGCGGAGGGGAAACATGATGCAGTAGTCTCCCAAAAATAGCGCTCCTTAAAAAAAAAAAAAAAAGAGAGAGAGAGAGAGAGAGAAGGGTTACATAAGGGGTGTCTGTGCAGAGCCTTCACCTTGAGCCTGGGGTTGTTGTTTTTGGGGTGTCATACTCAGACTGGCCACAGGAGGTCACCATGGCTCGCTGTTCAGCAGCAGCAGCTCTGTCCTTGTCAGAGCTCCCTCTTCAGTGGGCCATCCTGTGGAAAATCCTTTCAGGAGGGGATGTTCAAGGGCATTCTCTCTCTCCTCCTTTTTCGCTGTTGTATTTCTGTGTCTCTCACTCTCTCCTGCCACTTTTTGTTAATATCTTTTATTTCCTCTGTTTCTCTCACACTCGTAGTGCGTCGTCAGATTCTCTGTCATCTGTTCTCTATTCTCTCCATCACTGTCCTCACAGCCCTGCATTTTCTTACATACGTAATAATGGTGTAGGGTTTCTTTAAAAGTCTTCTTGGTTGCAAGGCCAGAGAGGATGGAGGGCAGAGAATGTTTAGGTGCCGTATGTAGGATCTTTGGGGTGTATTTCTGAGATTAATCCCTTTCCTTTTTTTTTTTGATCTTATTTTTTTTTGGAGGGCAATTTTCTGCTTTATTACTGTGAGAAAGATAGAGATTGGCCACAGTATCCTAAGTCTGCATCTTCACCTTCTGATTCACTTGGACGCGCCACTTGTGGCAGCAGGGTGGTGTACTGTACTGTATAGAAAAGAGCGGCTTTCCTTCAACCGGTCACCCTGTGTTTAAACTCTCTGCTTCTGCTAAAAGGTCGTTCAAGAAAACACCGACTTCTGCTCCTTAGCTGATCATTTTTGGCCTCCCTGTTTCAGGGCGCAAGACAAAGAGAAGATTTTCTGTGTTGTCTGGAATCTTAACACGTGGACGGCTGTATGTGTGATCTAATAACTTCCCTCCTTTCTCAGGTTGGGGGGTATGATCGCGGCCTACAAGATCGTGCCGGATGAGATAGATGAAATCAAGGTATGTGATGTATCCATCTGTCTATTTTTCTCTCTACACTGTCTGCTTATCTTTTTGTCTGCGGCGATGATTTTCAAAATTAGAATTAACCATCATCAATGTGTGTGAACTAACAGGAGACTCTGGTGGATTGGTGCGATGAAAAGGAACTTAACCTCATCCTGACCACCGGAGGCACAGGCTTCGCCCCGAGAGACGTCACACCAGAGGTGAGTTCACGTCATGAATCTAATCATAAAATGACTAAGTCAAACGTGACTGTGGGCATTTTGAAATGTGTTCTCTCTAATATACAGTGGATATGAAGTAGAAAATCGCCGAGCGTATTTCTATTTTTTGGTTTTGGGTGAAAGTATGAAACACTGACCAAGGTGATCAAATTACATAAACACACACACCACAACCAGAACTTACACATTCTTCTTCTAATGATTTTTGCTGATGTTCAGGGAATCTTCCTGTTTCCTTTAAACCAGCTCATGAAAACGTCTCAAAGTTGCATGTATTGAATTTCAAAAGATTGCAAAATGAAGTTGTATTTAAAAATAGCCAGAAACAGGTTACATAATGAACAAGGACAACTGAAATACGGACGCTGTCATATGAGGGAAGTTAAACCACTACGATACAAAGGTAGATCCCTCCTGTTACCTTCTGTGCTTTATTCAGACATTACACACGTGCGTTGCAGCACTGATTAACACACGTTGTAATTAGCCTCACGGTCACATGGGAAATAAAGAGGCAGAAGTTTGATCCTTATTAACGGCTTTTTTTTTTTTTTTCCAAATATGGTGATTGTGTTGGAGGCAATTCAGAGATAATGGGTGGCAGGCATCAGTCTGGGTGTGTTTTTTTGTGTGTATTTCATGTATCAACCAAATTTTAAGGGTTGTGCACACTCATTTCAATAATAGGGGAAACACTCAGGTAGATTAACTTGAACCATTTTATCTGACAGTTACATGAACCAAATAAATTGTCATTGCAGGCTTCATAAAGTGGTTCGATGTGGTTGTGGTCACACCTAGTGTTTCTTTTGTCTGACACATACAACTGGTTTTGTGTCAGACAACATTAAATAGAAAATTTTAAAGTGTGTGAAGACCCTAATGTGCCCAGTTTATATGCATACACACATTCTTTCATGCATATACACAGTCTCCTGCACTGTAAAGACAATACACCACTGTGTATACCTGTCTCATCACACACCATTGTTAACTGTATTACATATTCAAAGATTAGAACCTTTATTGGATTTACACTGCTCCACTTCAGTTATATGTACTCAACCAACCTCATTCACACACACACACACACACACACACACACACACACACACACACGCATGCAATTTTGGCAGGGGATGAGCTGTGGTTCTCAGCAGTATCATTGGTCCTCATCAATCATGGTAGACAGCAGCAACCTTCCTGGAAGGGGGAAGACACGAACACACTGTAGTCACTGATAATACCTGCTATCTGATCCAAGCCTGTATGCTGGAGACAGCGATATCTCCCTGTCTGCCTCTGTGTGTTTGAAGGCTGTGCAGGACACAGATGACTGTATTGTGTAGATGAAGGCAGGACAGAGGCAACAGATTACACTCTCAACGTCTTTCCTCTTAATTGATGATTTCTTTCATTATTCATCCTATTTTTTGTTCATTCTATCATGTGGAAATATGGATGTTACCTTATTTCCCTATTACAGTAAGCGCTACATGTTGCTGTTTTTTTACATTGCATCCATTAACAGATTGAACAAACCACGTCTCGACTGTCCGAAGGCTAAAAAACACATTTATCAACATTTTGATGGTTTGCAGCAGCCTGATTGCTGTTGCTGGAGTAATAACCACTGCTAGTGGAGACATATACAGTATTCCATTCAATTCCTACCACACATCTACTTTTGTCTCAGTTATATGAGATCGTGCTGGTTTACTTGATCCCGAGAGTCATTTTACTGGTCATATGTTTCTCTGCACTTTTGCAGTGCTGGAAAAACCCCATGCACAATGCATTACCAAAATAAAAGTTAAAGTAGTGTCAGTTTGCTGCCTGCATTGTTTTGTTAATCTCGAGAATCTTCCTAGTGTCAGGTCAGGATGTTTCATACTAATTTTGCTCTTCTGTGATTTTGCAATGTAAAAGTGTTGCACCAGTTTTGGTTACACACTTACTTTCATGTAAACCTATAGAGTAAGGGGTCACAGTTTACAGATTCATGCTCAGTTTTTTGTTGTGCTCATGCATGTTCTGGTGAATAGCACAAGAAGCATCATATGTGGGACTACATTTTCCCTTTTCAGAAAAAGGAATTTTCAACGCATACATTTAATCAAGGCGTTGATCTCGAGATACATTTCAGGCCTCTGCAGGATCTCATTCGGTTAGATTTCATCACATACGCTTAGCGCTTCTCCTCCCCTTGTGATACACCCACTCACATTCAACATACACATGTGGTTAAGACTAAACCATCACTCATTTTTCCTAAAAACTTTTACCCAAATCATGCATGTTGTGTATCTGAACTCATCTCCCTCTTCTTCCAGTCGGCGGCTTTATATGATGAGGTAGAAATCCAGCCTCACCCCTCTCCCTCTCTCCCTCCTTCTCTCTCTTGTTTCTGTCTCACCCCTCCTTGGTCCCACCCACACTCTTTCCCTTCTCCTCATCCCTCCCTCCCTGCCTCCCTCTCTCCCTCTCCTCTCCTGAGTCCAAGCCCACGATGGCTCATCAGTGGCTCCTCTCCTTTGAAGTCTTTTCTCTCCCCTCTCCCTCGCTAATGGTGCGTTTGAAGTGTCACTCAACTCAAGGGCACCCAACACACACAGCTGGAGGAGAAGGCGCTATCTTCTCCGCTATCTCTCTGCCAGGAACGTGCCACACCAACCGCAGTCCCACAAACGTATACGCGCTCGCGCATAAACAAACACATATATCGCACATATCTCCGCAAACATGGCGAAACCGACAGCACCACCATCTCTGGAAACCGCTCTGGTTTGCACCCCGCTGGTTTGTGTGTAATGAGATCCCACTTCCAAATCCAAATCATGCAAGGACGTAAAGTATGCTGTGCACAAAATATGATAAACAACCGGCCCGCCATAAAAGCCCAGGCTGTAGGACAAACTCATTCATCATTAAAGTGTTTAATTGCACAGAGCGACCAAGAAAAAGACATATTCCTGTATTGATTTCAAAGATTAAATCAATCCTGATTGCTAATGTGGGGGAGTAAATGGGGAGGAGACAGGTCAGATAAGGATTTTTCAGCCTTCAGACAGTTGAGACATGAATTGTGCAAGAGGGATTGTAAATCAATATTTGAAGGGCAGTCCTGTTGTTTTGAGTCAAGGTATGCATTCAGGAGGTTGTTGTTGAGCTGTGAGACTATTATCTTCATCATGGCAACAGTTTTATTATTTTATTTCGTTAATTGACATTCCTCGTAATGTTGTTGGTTGAGGACTTTCCACTGTTTGTCTGTGCTGTTGCCTTCATTGTAAAGTTAAATCCACAACAGAGACATAGCATTTAAAGCACATTACTTTTGTAGTTGTATTTACCTCATATGGCTGATGCTGGACTTGAATGGAATTGTTCTTTATAAGTATATTTCCTGTTGTTTTTTTTTGTTTTGTTTTCTTCTTCTTACATATGACATTGATATTGTACCGACTTCCATCAGCTCTATTCATTCAGAAGTAGTCAGGTTTTATTTTCTTAGTTTCTCTGATTTCATTCAAGGAAAAATGATAAATAACTTCTCGTCAAGTAGAGTTGTATTTAACACTAACAATTAGTTTCCTTTGTTCCAAATAATAGTACAAAAGTTTATTATATTGCATTATTACCTCCACCAAGGAGGTTATGTTTTCACCCGTGTGTTTATTTGTCAGCAGGATTACGCAAAAAGAACTGAGCCGATTTGCCCTGAACTTGGTGGAGGGATTGGACATGGATCAGGGAAGAACCCATTCAATTTTGGGGCAGATCCGGATCATTTACTATAATTTGAATTTTTTTCTCTGAAGTCTGGTTTATGTTGTTAGACAGCGGCCTCGTTGGGGGTGTGCTCCCTCTAAGTGGCCTTTTGGTTGGAACATCGTTTCAATCTCAGGCTACCTTATTACAAGTGAACCAAATATTCACTCAAGATGAATATTTATGTGATGAATATATTTGTTTATCTGTTTTTCTGTGATTGAGGAAAAAATTTCAACATCCACCTCTTTTTATAAACTCTTTTTGTAGTTTGCATTCGATTATACTGTCACCTCTAATGAACACCACCCTGCTTTTTCTTGGAGGAGCAACAGCACGAGCATTTTTAGCTCAGATGGCACGCCTCTCACCTTCCCAAATAAACCGAGCTGAAGGCGTAAACTCTCCAGTGTTGGAAGAAACTGCTCCAAACATGAGACACATGCTTAGTGAAGACTATGATCACACTCACAACCCTCCTCCTCCATTCTCTCCTTTCTCCAGGCAACTAAGGAAGTGATAGAGCGCGAGGCTCCAGGGATGTCTCTGGCAATGCTGATGGGATCCCTCAACGTCACACCACTAGGCATGCTTTCCAGGTCAGGCGCACAAAACACAACCCAAAACACACACTTTTGTTTTCCTCAGTCTTTTATTACGACACAGGCATCTAGACATCAATGCACAAACACACGGGATTTCACAAAAACACCCAATTTAACCAGTCACTCTGTTCGTAAGGAGCATTTAAAATCAATATCCTGTCACCTGACATCATCACTTATGTATTAAGTGTCATTAAAGAGCAGAGGTCCCTTCTGTCGCTGAAATCCCACTCTTTCATATAAGACGCAAAGATGAGTGAGGAATTTATCACCTGTGATTATGTTTAGCATGAATTGAGGCTTTGAGGTGGAGGGAGAGGCATGCATTTCTATAACATCTCCATACTGAAGTGTATTCGTTGCACTAGCACACTTTTTCCTCTGCTGCGTTCCTTTAAACTTTCCTCCTTGTTTGTGTGTTGCAGACCTGTGTGCGGTATCCGAGGGAAGACACTCATCATTAACTTACCAGGAAGCAAGAAAGGCTCCCAGGTAGGAAACACTGCAAACTGCTGTAACAAGAGCTTTCTCCTGTGGATGTTAGTGTTCGGTGTAGTTGAGCCTGCAGTGCAAACTGAAGTGAAAAGAGATTCCCCTGACCAGCAGCGTGTTTAGTGGGTTGGCAGTTCGATCCCTGACGTCGGTCCCCATTCCAAAGTGTCCTCGAACAAGACGCTAGACCTTGATAGCTCCTGATGGTTAGGCGAGAGGCTTACGCGGTACCTTTCTCTGCCGTTGGTGTGTGAATGGGTGAATGAGAGGCAAAATTTTAACGTGCACAACATCGTCTGTACACAAACAGCAAAATGTGGATACACGCCAGCCGGTGACCCGTTTTTTGAATGCTGCAGCCAGCGAGCTATATGACCTGCTCGTATGGGCAGCTATTAGCTTAGCGCTGTGCTAGTAACAAGACTGTGAAGGTCATCTTCACTTTAGACTCTCACCTGCACTTTGTTTTGTGATCTGTAAATGTGTCTACGTGTCGGTATCTTTGTGTGTGTGTGTGTGTGTGTGTGTGTGTGTGTGTGTGTGTGTGTGTGTGTGTGTGTGTGTGTGTGTGGAAGCAGTGTATGGATTTGGAGGGGTATGACTTTGTGTGTGTCTCTGTGTGCATTCATTTAAATGATTAATCGATGTTGTGTGTGCATATAGATCTGTGTGTGTTTTTTTGTTTGTGGTTTCTGTGTTTTGATGTATTTCTATATGGAAAAACATATAGATGTACAGTACGTCTGGGTTTGTGTTTACAATATGTGTGTGTGAGAGCTTGTTTGTGTGTATGTACATATATATATATGCATGTATGTATGTGTGTGTTTGTGTGTGTGTGTGTGTGTGTGTGTGTGTGTGTGTGTGTGTGTGTGTGTGTGTGTGTGTGTGTGTGTCCACCCACTGCTGTCTCTGTCTCCCCCTCCATCTGTCTCCCTCTCTGCTGTGCCGACCTGCACATCTGTCTCTGTCTCGTTACGCGCCCGCTTCTCCTGATCGATTTTAGTATTTCTTTTAATCAATTACGCCACCTCTCCCCCATCTGCTGCCATATTAGTGTCTCCCTCATCAACCCCCAGTTAAAGTTAACGGCACAAGCAGCCCATTGCAGGCTTTTATTGCGATGATCTCCTGTCATAAAGATAACGGGGAAGTCCGGCTGAGCCAGCCAGACGAAGCCCCTTATGTCAGAGTGTCGGCTGTGCATCTTTTAGCTGCTCGTTTTGTCTCTTTGGCCTCATTTACACTGCAGATAAAATACAGCGCATCTACATATTGTATTTAGATAGTTCAATCACACCTTTGTATTCACTATACCTCAAATATCTAATGATGTGATCTTGTTGTTTTGTCCTCAATGTGAGGTGAGGATATGATTTTAGCCTCAGAGGTAAGAAACCTTCCTGACTGATGTGCCAACATCTTGACTTTGAATGAAAAAGTTTTAGTCTTCCATGACTATGTAAATGTTTTTATGAATAAATGTCAGGAGGGAAGACTGAATCCTTTAAGTTGAGAGTTTGTTTTGACGTGACAAACATGTTTAAAGGCTTTCTCCAGCGATTTAGCATTGTGCTTTTATCAAGCATCAGGACTCAGGAGAGACAGCTTCCCACAGGGACAAAGACGCTTTGACAAGGTAGAGTCTTCTACAGGGAATGTGAGGGTATGACGATGATGATGATGATGGGCTCCTTGTCAGGCTTTTCAAAATAATAATCACAACAGCAGTAGCAATAACACTAATGATAATAATAATGATAATAATAATCATTTGGTCGAGAAAAGCTTGTCAGCTGGAGAGAGCCGCTATACCCCGGCTCATCCTCACTTCCTCACGCCTCCGGTCGGTGGCGTGATGACGATGATGGCGATGATATTTTCATGAGCAGCGATGCACTGCACTGATGGCTTTGCTGCGTCTTTCTGTTATGGCAACAGATTTTTCATGTGATGATGAATCCATCACAAAACATTTTCAGCTTTTGGTGATGATTCCTCCACCTGCAGTGCTGGTATTTACCTGTGGGGAGGACATTTATACCCACTGTGATGACATTTCTACACACTGCAGTGACATTTCTGTCTAGTGGGACAGATTTTTTTTTTTTTTTTCCCCACCAGCAACAAAAGCACAACACTGATTACAGTTTCACCCTGTTGGCTCTTGGTGGTGTATGATCACTTATCATATTTGCATGTACACACTTGAATTGTACTCATATCCTTGTTTCAGTGACTCGGACATTATCCGTCACTGGCTGAGAACTCCGTCCATTCAAGACTTAACCCCTCTATCTATTTATGTATGTATGTGCCTGTGTATGGTTTATGTGTAGCCTACAGGGATGTTTCTGTCTGTGTGTTTCTTTACTGTAAAGATATTTCTAATTTACTGTGGCATGAACAATGTACATACTGTGGGAACAAATCTCCCCTCTGGGGACAAAAAGTAAATGCACAGTACAGCTCAGTATATCTCAGGCCACCATAGCCCATATCTACTTTCTCTAAATGCTCTTTTATCGCTCTCCTTCGCTTTAAAAATATGCTTCTTTTGTCACAGGATTAATGAAAGTTAGTGGTTACCAATCACTGAGCCGCAGACCAATACCAGCCCATGGAACATTTCCTACTAGGCCCCGGGGAAAAATATGATTTGAAAAAAAAAAACACTGAAATATGTAACTGAAACAATGTGTTATAATATCCTTTACGTTGTTTGAGCTCTCCACATACACTATCATACTTATCGGTCCATAAGTATGTTTTCAATATGAAGAATGTTAAAATGTTCCTATGATGGAGTTTTGCGCTTGATATTTCTGTTTTTGTGCAAGTGGTCTAGCGGGGTAGAAACTGAAACATGTCTTCCTGTTGTCCTGGGGAAGTCTTTAAAACATAAATGTTTCTTTTTGTCTTTTTCCTTCCCTCCATCTGTTATTATTTACTGTCCCTGTTTCTGTTTTATCTCTTCTTTCTCCTGTCTTTTCTTCACTTTTGTCTGTCTCACTGTCTTTTTGTTTGACTCTCTCACTGAATCTCTGTCTCTCTCCTACTCTGTCTCTCTTAATCTCTCTATCTCTCACCCTGTATCTCTCTCTCTCTATCTCTCTTTTTTTTTTCCTCTGTCTCTCGTCCTCTCTTGTCCTCTCCTGCAACCGCAACAGCAGCGCCTTCCCCCTCTCCCTGCATCCCTCTCTCTCTCTCTCTCTCTTGCTTGTGTTTCTCCTCCGCTGGCAGTATATCCAGGGATTCTGCTCTTTAGTGTTCTTGACAGTTACTCTCCTCCAGGACAAAACAGAGAATAAGAACAGAAAAAAAAAAAAAAACCCACTCCTGACGTACCTAAAAAAAAAAATTTCGCCGGCACGCAATGAAAGCAGAAAAATGGGAAAGGAGGAATGTCTCCAGGCTCCTTGACACCATCCTCACTCCTTCTTTTGCCCAATCCCTCCCCACTTCAGCCTGACCCACCCGGCCCTCCTTTCCATGTCTCTCAAAAAACGCTCAGATGTGGGCTTCAAACACACCAGCAAGAGGCATAAACAGTCTACTGTGTGCTGAGGGGTTTGGGCTCTGTGTGTGTGTGTGTGTGTGTGTGTGTGTGTGTGTGTGTGTGTGTGTGTGTGTGTGTGTGTGTGTGTGTGTGTGTGAGAAAGTGGGGGGGGGGTATGAGGTGGAAAGGTTAGCTTGCGGCTACAGAGCAGGGCTGGCGGGCTCGTGGTTGACTACTGAGATTAACCCATTCGACCTCTTTCATCTGCTGGTCTGAGGAGTCCTTCTGTTCTCCTTTGTGTATTTGTCATGCGCAGCGGTGGAGGATGCTATTCCAGTCAGGCCATGCATCCTCGTGTGGATCCACGGACTTTAAATGCAGTCAAATCAAGGTGAACATCGTCATATTTAACCCAGCGTGCGGTGTGCACACATTTCAAAAAAAAAAAAAAAAAAATATATATATATATATATATATATATAAAAGGGGGACATGGAGTGGAAAGGTTGCTCCGAAAGCCCGGGTTGGCAGCCAGCGTAGATACTGTAAAGCGTGTGGGCGATTATTAATAATGTATCTTCTCAATGCTTAAAATACACAGGAAGATAAATAATTTCACAGATTAGCTCTTGTCTTGGGAGTGAGGAGAATGGAGCGTTTAGCATAGCCGAGGAGCCCACAGGCACACTGACACACAGAGAGACACCGGAGAGGGAAACGGAGATGGAGGGACGAGGCTGGTATGAATGTGGCCAGAGGGAGGCGCTGTGATCTGCTGAGGTGGAGAGGGAAATCTTTGCTTTTTATTGTGCTGTCTCAACCAGGGTCACACACTGTATTAGTTACACAGACATAAGTAGACTTATAAGTAGACTGCAGTGTTCCTGGTGGTAATAGTGTATCATGCAGTCTGTTCTTTTTGATCTCCTCTCGTTTTATTCGGATGTGGATGCTGTTTCTTGTTAATGTGAACTCATCTCTTCTTTCATGTTTACTTGTCGCCTTGATGAATTCAGGATACTCTGCAGCACTAATTCAGCCCATACTCATGTCACATTCAACAATCTATTGCTCTTCCTTTTTTTTTCTTTTCTCTTAGAGCAGAATATGTTTTTTGCTCACTAATTATTTCCAGTTCTTCAGTTCTTTTTTTTTTTTTCTACGCGGGTGTTTTCACATTAAAAGCCTTCCAGCAGCTCAAAGGGCATAATCTCTCCGTTTCCTCTGAGGCTTTTAATGTGATGCTCTCGAACTTTGAGAATGCACACACAACCACACACACAGACACACACACAGACACACACACACACACACACACACACACACACACACACACACACACACACACCTCCTCTCTAGTACACCGTGCTTTAAGATGATTGGTGAATAAAGCACGGTGTACTTGAGAGAGGTTGTGAGTCTTTCACAGTTTCAATGACAGTATCTTAACTGTGATTGGGGGAAAAAAAACAAAAGCCAAGTAGTAGAGATTAGTGAGTGAAAACACTATTTCTGTCAAAAACAGACACACAGAACGGCAGGGTAGTGAGTATGATGTCACTTTTTTTGTTGCACTGATGTATTTAGTGCTGTGGAAATTTAACAGGTAGTAACACCACCAGCGTTATTTTACTGGCTTTCGTTGGGTATATTTATTCATGCTGGCCAAGGCCCCAGCAGTCATTTGAGACTCTGCCATTATTTGAATATCAGCTTCATTTGAGAATTTACAGTATTTATTATTTACTATTATTAAGTTACATCAGTGACACTTAAGGAGAAAATAGCACATATCTTCTTCTTGGCTGCAAGACAACTGTCCATGTCACCCATACTGTTTCTCTCCTCTCCCCGCTCCATCCTCCCTCCCAGGAATGCTTCCAGTTCATCCTGCCGGCATTGCCGCACGCAATCGACCTTCTGCGGGACGCGGTGGTGAAGGTAAAGGAGGCGGCAGACGAGCTGGAGGACTTGCCGTCGCCACCGCCACCCCTCTCGCCGCCGCCCAACAGTTCGCCACGCCGCCAGACGGAGGACAAGGGCGTGCAGTGCGAGGAGGAGGACGAGGAGAAGAAGGACAGCGGCGTTGCATCCACCGAGGACAGCTCCTCCTCCCACATCACCGCCGCATCCATCGCCGCCAAGGTATCGGGGCGGAGGAGAGGAGAGGGCAGAGTTCATGGATCTGACTCCATCCATTTCAAGCTGTCATCATTACATGTTCACACATCATTCACACAGTACAAGCATGTGTTAAAGGTGCTGCATGCAGGATCTTAACATCAATGAGTCTTTTCTAAAGTAATTAAGAACAAAATTGCTATGAACTGTGAATGCTACGCCAGGGTGCTGAGGGTGTCACAGGAAACTTCATTTCTTCAGTAAAGAAAATGAGGAAACAAACAATATTAACATGTGGGAAATGTGTAGGATTTATCCAGTTTGTCCTACTGATATAAAATGGGACAATCTGACAGATGCATTTTTTTAGGGTTGGAAGACAGATCGACCAGTGAGATTAGCTTAATTGAATTTTGGCACGTGCTCAGGAGGAAATAGGAGTAGGCTTATTATGCAAAATAGAAAAAATAAAAAAGATTACATTACTCTTTGGATCTATGGCAGCTGTCGCTGCTGTGGCTGTCAATACATATAAACATGAAGTAGGTTAATGTTCTCTTTGATAACACTGAAATCAGAGAAAGCATAAGTTACAAGATGTACTTCTGTCAGATGTGTGATTAAGGTTTGAAGAATTTCATGGTTTCATTTTTCAGCGCGCTAAAAGCGGAGACGGTCTGTTATTATACCAAAGGTTTACAGTTACTTTGATCATGATACAGTGATGTTTAAAAATGCTACAGGTAGCACCTTTAGATGACTGATTCACTGTTTTTCAATCCTTACCTTAATGTAATGTCTCATCCACTGCTTTCTGCTGTGCTTAACCACTGAGCAGTCATTTACACCGTCACAATCTGTGATAAATCTCTCTTTCAAAAACAGGAAGTTCACAGTCAAACATTTTTACTGTATGTATTTTATTGTATTTATTGTATGTCCCTTTTTTGGGGTTAGACGCTGGACCTGGTCCATATTTGTCAGACTTGTGCCTCTTCCCCACATGAGATCGTCCAGCCTCAAAGAGACCAGAAGTATTCAGGTGCTCCTCATGAGCTTTTCCAGTCAAATTTACCACAGTTTTTTTCTTAAATAGCCGACAGCGTATAAAAAAAAAAAACAGAGAAACTTGGCCAAGTTCTGTGATATTCAAATTAAGAGCATGAGTACCAGGTCAATGGTAAATGTGTCAGTATAACTTCAACATATCTATGAAGCAGCATTAGAACAATGCCTGGCTTCCATTGATCACACTGTGATGTGGCTTTTTCACTGCATCACACGAGACAGTATTTCCCAACTTTACAAGTTGACCAGGGCTGCATGTCTTTGCAGCCTTTGGAGGAGCTGTAGACGCGGGCCTGGCCTTGTTATAAATGACGTTTGTTACCATTGCCCCAGCACCTAAAGTGGGAACCAAGTTTTCTTTCTTGATTTTATTTCAAACTTTATTTCTTGCATCTGCATATTTACCGGAAGCAGGAAGTTGTCATTTTTTATCAGTAATACATATGCGGACACTGAGTGCTTCCTGTTATTAAAAAGTGAGATACGTCATGGTTATTAAAAGTAAAATAGGTAAAAAACAAAACTTATCCTTTTACATATCGTCATCATGTGTGTGTGTCTGCTCTGTCCACTCACATGCAACATCATACCCATCATCCCATCCTGCCCCGGTCTGCAGCCTGGAACTGCTCTAAGGCTCTGTTGTCAGGGTAACATCCCACCTCATTGTCCAGTCACAGATGGATGTTGGTAAGACTCAACACCCCGAAATCTCAACACTTTTATTTGTCATCATAATTTGTCTTTCATCTGCATCAACGTCATTTAAGTTTGACAACCAGATATCAGAGATGTTGAGGTGTTTGTCCTCTGGGCTGGTTGTGAGTGTGTGTCTGGACTGTATATATAAGTTTATAGTGTCTGGATATTGTATTGTGTGTATTTGTGGCTTCCTGGATCTTCACCATCACCATGTGTGTGCGTGCCTGTATATGGTGTGTGTGTGGTGTTTATATGCACGTGTGTCTGCGTATGTGTGTGTGTGTGTGTTTGTGTGTGTGATCTCAGATCCCAGACTCCATTATCTCGCGGGGTGTGCAGGTGTTGCCCAGGGATACAGCCTCTCTCAGCACCACGCCCTCGGAGTCGCCCCGCGCACAGGCCACCTCCCGACTCTCTACGGCTTCCTGTCCCACGCCCAAAGTGAGTTTGTACGCTCACACACACATTTACACAAATACAGATGCACCATTGTTGTACTGATTTATTTCCTAAACTTAAACACTTCCTCTTATCTTTCCCCTTAATCAGTGGTACCCAACCTGGTTTCAACCACTCTCATGTTAGCTTAGTATAAGTTAAAGTAAGGAAGGTCAAACAGGTGACTGCGTGATATACAAGCAACTCTAAAGCGTGTTACATGATTTACATGTCCTGATTTGATTTGTTTTATTTTCTAGATTTTTTTTTTTTTTTTTTTATCCATACAAAAGCGGAAATGTAAAAAAGATAAGTTAAAGTGAGCCAACAGGCCTCACTCTACAACCAGGACTGGAGTTCAAGAACATACACCTCCATCAACACACACATGCGTATACAGAACGCGCACAGATGCACACACCCTGCCCGAGCAAAACGTACCTCTGCAGAGCGGCTTTACTGTATCTGCACAGTTTGCTATTTTGTGTACAAACATATTATAATGCTTGTCAGTTTCTAGCCTTTAAAAATCAAAAGACGTATATTTCTAATTTTGATTCATTCACTTATGTGAGTTATTGTTTGGGGGTGGAAAGGTTTTACTATTTTCCTTTTTTCATCAACTTTATTTTATTGTATTCTACCTGCTGAAATATGTTTTTCATTTCTATTTATAGTCTTAATTTTAGTTCAGATGATCTTATATAAGATTACTAAACAGTGTCCCTACATGCTCACACACACACACACACCAACAACACATCACACTGTCCTGTTCTCTTTCAGTGTCTCAACTTGGCAGAGTTGTATTTTTTGTGTTTGTTTCAATGTGTTTTATATGTGAAACCCCTCGTTTGTGTGCGCGTGTGTGTTTTTGTGTGTTTACGGAGACAGCAGGTTGTGGGTCTTATGCTTGGATGCGTTCGCTTACAGTATTATTCCCCGAGGTTTAATTCAACACATTGCAATGTTTGTAACTATATACCCTCAGTCTGCTTTGTCTGTCCATGCTTCAATGGGATACTTCAACATTTTGTCAACTTGTGTCCCTCCTTTTTTCCCCTGAAATTGTCTTAATGCTGAGTTTTGTGACCAAAATCCACCACATGTTGAGAACTCCCAGGTTGCTTTGGGGCTGACTTTGCCATTTGGCTATAATGAGGAGTGCTAACTTGTTTCCTGTTTAACTGAAGATACACAGTACACAGCTCTTGATGCTAAATACAACAAACTATAACATGAAATGTCCAAGTATCCTTCTGTGTTTTAACCAATCTCTCCTGCAGGTTTTTAAAATGCCGAATGGTGTCAACTCTCTCTCCCCCTCTCTCTGTCTCTCTGTCTCTCTCTCTCTCTCCCTCTCTCCCTCTCTCTGTCTCCCTTTCCTCTCTCTTTCACCTCATCTGTAAGTGTCACGTCTCCATGTGTCTCCCGGACAGCAGGCAGGTGCCATGGGAATATATGAGGGGGGTTGCCATGGGAACAGAGGGATGGGATGTTAGTGGAGGAGGGAGGGCGGGTGCATGGGCGGGTCATGCGACAGAGGGAGCAGCCAGAGGAGAGCTGTCTCTCTCTCGCTCTCTCTCTCCCTCCCTCTCTCTGCTCAGCAATGTTTGGGTGACAGGTCAAGTCAAACCCTTGCAACACATTTTAAACATATACAGTTGGTCAGCCAGATGTGAAAACAACGTGGATGTAGAAAGTAAGACATTACTATTATATCTTATTGCCCCAGTTTGATGGCAAGTCTTGTCTCAATGATCCTGGACTCCTCAGTTTGTAGGTTTTATGTAGCTGCTGCTTTACACAAAATACACATTGATTTGTCCCAAAGATCTAAACCTGGCAGAAGACAAAGATTTTTTTATTTTTGAATGCAGTTCTGACTGAAGTCCTCTGCACATGATCATGGTGCTAGAATATTTTTGCCATTGTTTTCCTACGGAGGGAGCAAAGTTGTCCAACATTGCAGCTGTGCTTCTTTGTGTGTCATATGCAACTTCTCATTGCTCTGCTGCTACGTCGTGAATGTCGTTGACATAGATCTATGCTACTTTTTGCCTCTGCACCGTGCTGGCCTCCCAAGCCTCACAATGATTGTAGTTCATTTTACTGATCGTTGTTAGACAGCCTCAGACTTGGCTAAGGCGTTTTTTGACCTCAGCTGAGCTACAGAGTGTGTAGCTGTAAATAATTGGACAGTGGGGAGCTTTAATGCTTCTGCTGTTGTCCCAGAGCTGCTGCTGGGTCCACTGATGCAGTGAGATAGACCTCTCCCATCACCCCACCTCCCTTTGCTCCAACATGCAAATACACACTAACACCTGTCTCTCCACTGAAGCCTTCCTTTGTCAGTGACCCAGTTTGAGCATCACTAGCCTGTCAAGATCACATGCCAACCGCATTAGTCAGCGTTTGTGTGTGACGTGCCCGTCTGGACATGTGTGTCTTTGTACATGTGCAGATAACAGACAGTTAATGGCTTTTCTAGGTATAGCTTTTACCTTGTTTAGATTCTGACACAGGCTGTTTCCCAGCGACAAGCTGCCATATGTTCTTTGAAATTCCCACGTTGCAAGCGGCTGCCGACAGTATGTACACAATGTCCCTGGAGCCAGAATGGCTCTCTTCACTGATGCATTTCATGTGCCACTGTGGGCTGTGTTAGTTTGTTAGCTGGGTCTTGATGGCAGCGCTGCGTGGTGGCTTTGAGAAGAGAAGGTATGGAGTAGGTCTTAATCTTGTCACTGCCAGAGCTGCTGCTGCTGCTGCTGCGGCTGCTGCTGCTGCTGCTGCTCCCATACAAGCAGGCCCGACGCCACGGCTCACAGAGCAGAGCGCAAGCAAGGAAGCACTATCCTGCCAAATAGAAACATGCATAAATACACACAGGTCATGTATCAGCATTTCCAGCTCAAGTAGCATTTGTCAAGTTCTGGGATTGTGTGTGTGTGTGTGTGTGTGTGTGTGTGTGGGTGTGTGTGTGTGTGTGTGTGTGTGTGTGTGTGGGTGTGTGTGTGTGTGTGTGTGTGTGTGTGTGTGGGTGTGTGTGTGTGTGTGTGTGTGTGTGTGTGTGTTTGTGTGTGTGGTTGTGTGTGTGTGTGTTTTCAGATGGATGGCATGTGTGTTAAGCAAAAGTGAGGAAGCAATTAAATGTCAGTGTTTGTACCTGTGTCTGTGTGTGTATGTTGCACTCATGCAGATGCATAAATGTTGTGTGTGTATGTGTCAAAGGAGCTCTCCAGCTCGCAGGGTTTTGCTATTAAGCATAAAGTCTGTATGCAACACAGAGGAGTGCAGACTCAGAACTCATGTCCAAACCTGTCTGTCTGCAGTGCAACAATACACACACACACACACACATACATACAGTAAATTTGGACACACAAAATCATCCTTAAGAGAGAAAATGTCTATCTCACTGTCACACGCAACACACACACATACACACACACACAGCCCACAAATGCAAGCAGATACAAAAGGATTATAAACTGAGCAGCTCTACAACCATTCATGTAACCAGATTTTCTTTCTCTGTCACACTGTCTCTTACTTGTGCACACACAAGAAAGCACACACAGACAGACACACACACATACACACAAGACACAGAGAGGGTAGTTGTACCCTTCCACTCTTGTGAGCATTTAGTACAGTTATGTAATGGTGAGTTTGGATTAATGAAGCATATGGGAGAAGGGGGTTTGACTCAGAGGATGGCTGACAGTGTGCGTGTGTGTGTGTGTGTGTGTGTGTGTGTGTGGGTGTGTGTGTGTGTGTGTGTGTGTGTGTGTGGGTGTGTGTGTGTGTGTGTGTGTGTGTGTGTGCGTGCGTGAGTGAGCGTGAGCATGAGTGAGCGTGAGCATGAGTGAGGTTGTGTCTCCTGTTCTTAATCTCAGTGGAGCAATGTTGGTTAGGATTTTCGTGTGCACTCATTTGCTGAGACACAAACATGAAAAACTACTACTGCATGCTTTCCAGGTTGCATCCGTATTTTGTTCTGACATTGAAGAGAACGTGTCTTTATCAGGTTGTGTGTCATGTTTTAGTGTGTTATGAGTGTTTACTTTAAGATATAGGATCATTTTACAAACATCATTTCTGGTCCTATATTTTAAATGAACAGCCCAGAGTCGAGACTCATTTTTATATAAGTGAATATAAGGTGCCACTAAAACCTCTCATTTTGAGAAAATGAGTCTGAGCCAGCTTTATCCTTAGGGTTGGAGTTTCTGTCTGAAATAGAATTAGTTTAGGTTAAGGGCGAAGTCGAGATTAGACTTGCATACTGTAGTTTGAGAAATTGGGGTTGCACTTTTTAAAGTGCATTTAAAGGGCAGGAGATCTTTGTTCTTTGACTGTTGAAATCCCTTTAGCTGTTGCTGTTGCTGTTGCAGTTGCACTCACAAGTTGTTGCAGAAGTGAATCCACTATGTTATGCAGTTCACTACAACAGCTAAAGTAGTTTCCAGGGGGGCTACTTTCTGCGTTTACCCTTAAGACAAGTGTTTAAAAAAATTAATTTTGATAAATTGGGGGGGGTGACGATTGGTTTTGGTTTTTAGTTTTTGGTAATTTGATTAACTGATTAGAATAAACAGAAGTACAAAGGGTCTGATGGCACCTCCTGTATTTATACTTGATCTTGAGGCTCTGTCTTGTAGAGGGGCCATGTGTCAAAATCAAGTATTAATACCAGTTTATATTATATTCTACTTGATGTTATGATTTCATGGTGCAGAGATTCTTACTACACTAAGTTGGGCAACTCGGGGGCTCAGAAGTGGCCCACAGATCACATGTAACGGTTAATCTGGTTAATCAGGTTAATCCGGCCACAGAGTAAAGTGTTGGTGTATTTGTTTGTTTTTGTTTTTTTTATCAGTATTTCTTTTAGTCATAAAAAGTATTCAAAGACACTTGTTAAGTTTGTTCCTTTAGTCAGTTAGTAATCAGTCAATATTAGACTCTAAATAAAATGTTACCTCATTTTTAATGTT